ATGCTAATATGGATACACGTGTGTAAAGCGCGGCTCCTGGGGCACGCCTTACGCCACGTAGGCATCGATAGATTTTGTTTTTATTATATTTGTATTTAGTTTATTAGACTTTTTAATTGTAATTTTTTATTATTTTTCATTAATAGTTACTTTATTTTTTTAAATTTGACTTTTTTAATGTATTTTAGTTAATTTTGTTTATTATCATTTAATATCAGTTATTGTAATTTGATTATCATTTACCATTTAATACTTATTGTAAGTTTGTTGTATTTAAAATTATTTTTGAAATACCAAATTGTTATCAGTTTGATAAAATTTAATGATTGTGTTCGATAACTTTCTTAAATTTATCACTTATTATCTTTTTTATTATAATCACATATAACGCAAACGTCCAATCTCGTATTATTGTATGGTTTTTAATATTCATTAGCGATTATCGAATAACATTAACTTGAAGTAAATGCAAATTGAAGTAAAAGAATTATTATTTGATAAACAAATACATCATTTCCTCATCAATTGTTACTTGATGTCAACAGAAGTGGACATGTTTTTCTAGTGTGTCCTGTGTTTCTACAATGCCCACATCTTCTGTCTTGTCTAGATCTTTCTCGAATATCCATATCGCAATGAATTCGATTGGATTTTGGACGACCACGCACCCTCAATAAACTCGGATTTGGTACAAGCGGAAGCCAATCTTGAACCTCATCGGAGTCTTTGTCATTACCTATGGGGGAAACTCAAATTCGTATACCTTAAAAACTTTAGATAGTAGGTATACGAGATCCACAAAATGATTATAATCTTGACGTGTATGCGAGCAAACTGCTATCACATGAGAATATATGAACGGAAATATAACAGAATAAATTTTTACACATAAACGTAAATAATTTAAATAATATAATTTTATATTATTACATGTACCGCAAAACTATTTCGACGTATATTCCCGCTTTCTAATTTTACAAACACAGAAATTAATTTACAACAATTAATATAATATTTTTTTCAAATAATCATAATAAATAATAAATAATAAATATTATAAAAAAATTTATCACAAAATTACCTTATAACGAAAAATCGAACAAACTTCTGAATAAAATATGAGAAAATTGTTAGAATTATTGACTCGTTGACGGAATTGTTGTATTAATTTATAAGTTGAGATGAGAGATGTGAGGAGATATGAAGAACTTAATCGGGGAGAAGGGTATTTATAGCCAGGAAAAGTTACAAGGCGCGACCCCTGTCCCGCGCTATACACTACGTGGTGTAAGGCGCGCCCTAGGGACTGCGTTTTACACACGTGTATCCATGTTAGCATAAGGCGCGCTTCAGGGGGTGCGCCTTACCTCACGTGGCGCCAAATCAGTATATAGCACAGTGCAGGGACGCGCTTTACTGCTAAAGGTGTTAGATCAAGAAATATAGTCTGACCGGTGTTAGATCAGTATATATACAGGTCATCGGTGATTTTTCAGGAAAAACCTGATATTTATTTAAAATATTTTGTATTCATTTTAAAATTTGAGTTTTTTTAATTAATTATTTATTTATTTTATGAACAATATCTATCATAAAATTTTATTTGTATCTATTTTATTTAAAATTTTATATTATTTATGTACGTGTGTTTGTTTTGAAAAATATTTGTCGAAGAAGTATTCTCAAATTAATTTTGATGTTTAAAGAAATTTTCATTAAACTCAAATATCTAATATTTTACTATTACAGTTTTAGACGCTCACTGATTAGAAAAAAATTATTAAGTGACATGTATTACGTCCAATTATTTTTAAAAATATTTTGGTTTTAAAAAATAAAAATTTGACCTGTGTCGTTTAAGGTTTTTTTATGTCATAGACACCTAAAAATATATAGAGAAAATAATAGACATAAATTTTTAATAAAAAATCTTTATATACCAAAAATTAATTTAAAATATAATTTAAACACCTAAAATTATATTAATTTTTTTATAAGTTGCTTTGGTTTTGGTGTTTCTTTTGTCAACAAGGTAGCAAGTGGGTGTCAATCCCACAGCGGGCACCTGCTTAAAAAGGTTATTATCATCCACTTTCCATTTCCCGGATGATCATGAAACTTTTTTTCTTTTTTTCAGCAAAAAATTTATGCCGTATCAATATTTGATGAGAATATTTAATCATTGAACATGTATATATATATTTATTTCTCCTCCAGCTCATGTGGATATTAATTCAAGCCTAATTCTCGTGATTTCATCTGTTAAACTTGAGCTGTTCGTGATCCTTGCAAGATTCTGGGAAACAACTGTTCAAAGCTCTTCAAATTCCACTATTGAATATGTAGGTTTCTAAAAAAAAAAAAGATTACATACTGAGAATACTCGTATCAGATCATAATGCAAACTACTTGTATTATTAGTACTTTTTTTTTGAATTGGACACACTACCGTAACAAAGAAATAAGGTTTTTGTTTTTGGAGACCTGCATTGATTTCTTTATCATCATCTGTTACTTAAATCGTAAGCAATTATTGCCCACAAGAATCATCCAGATCGAAGAGTCTTGTTTTCCAGCCAGCCATACCTGTTAAACCATGAGCTTCAAGTGTCCCCCCGCCTCTGGGTTCAAAGATATGGCCTACAACAGGCAAAATTGCCTAGCTCGCACCCACTTGATATTATTTAAACGCTCGTACCTCTAGGATTCATGACTCTTTCTTTTTTTAAATTACCGTTTTATTACGTAAATTTCCACTTCCAATTATATATGACTTAACTTCTAAATATTAATTAAATTTGATTTTTTTGACGCCACACAATTCTCTGAATCAATTACATGTCAGCATTTTCTCCAAGCATGACAGTAGGCATGTGTATGTGTAGGTCAGTTTCATGAGGCTCAGAAAGCATCTTGTAGAGTTGTGAAGTAGACGAAACAGGCTTCACCCCCAACAATATATCACTGGCAGCTATGATTTACCAGAAAGAAATGGTTCTCGCAACTGGGCTTCTTGGGAGCTAAATTGTCGTGCAGTAAAAAATCACCGGCAGTGACAGACATGGGTGACAGAAATGATATCAAAGCTGATGCTAAGATTAGTCTGTTAACAGGTGGCCGATGTCCACAAAACCCAGTGTATTGTGACAGTAAGAATTAGTGAATTACATATTGAAAAAAATTTCGGAACGATTTTGCATCTTCAAAATTACAAGGTAAATTAATGCTTATATACGCATTGTTTTACATAATCAATGATTCAACTTCTAACTAACTAACAAATCTTCAATACTCACCTTAAGTTGGAGGATGATCCATGTCTTTCATCCTCAACTTGGACATCAAATGTTCCTAAACTCTTATTTAATATATCAGCTTGTTGATCCAAAGTAGATATCTGATGTGTTTTTACAAGGACCTTTTGAATCTTCAATCATCCCTTTTTAAGCATATCAACTCAGCCACTTTTGAAGCCATACATGTACTTTGCCTCTACTAAAGATGGTGATATTGTCCTTTGCTTCTGAGTTGTAACATACTAACGAATCTCCTAGCTTAATGCAGTTGTTTGTGATCGATCTTCGCATCAAAAAGCATTCAAATGTGTCTTATTGTCTGCTGCAAATAGAATTCATTGTCTTGTCTTGGATGCTTCTGTATATATCTCACAATGCACAATGCTTCTTCATAATGAAATTTTTTGGGTGCATGTATGAATGTTGACCAACATTTGTAACATCCGGACATGTGTGTTAAATAGATTAATGCTCCAAGTAACCTTTGATATACACCAGCATCCTCTAAGGCTTCATTTGTTTGTGATTATCACTGCCATATCGTATTCTATTGAAGTAAGCTTTTGATTTTGTTCAAGTGGAGTCGATCCACAACGTGCTCCCCCTAAACAAGGATTAACTATAAGCTCCAAGGCATATTTACATTGATTCAACACAATCCCTTCTTTGGTCTTAATCACCTCATGCCAGGGAAATATCTAGATCCTTCGTTTTAAAATTCTAATGAAGAATACTCTTAAGCTCAAGTATAATATCACCATCTTGCTTCCTTCCCTTTTTGTAAACATGTAGTAATCATATAGACTCTGTACATAATCATTGAGACTGAGAGCTTCACTAAGCTTCACATTCCATTGACGTAAAGCTTACTTCAGTCCATACAAGGACTGAAGCAACCGACAAAACCGAGACTCCTCTTGATTTTGAAAATCCTCTGAAAGTATCATATAAACTTCCTTATGAAGATCACCTTGTAAGAAAGTATTGAACACGCCCATTTGAAACAAAGGCCAATCAAACATGGATTAGAGCAATGAAATTCTAACTGGAACTTCGTAAAAATGGAAAAATGTTTGAAATGTGGCAATCGTTTTATGATGTGGGTTAATCAATTCACATTTCATTTTTTTTACTTGTAAATTTGCAATAGTTGATGAGGGATGATGATGATGATGTGTTTGGAGATTAAATTGATAAAATTTATATTATAGATAATCAAATTTAGTAAATTATTTTGATTCGAATTAATAAAATGTATAAATTTTAAACGCTAAATATATTATCATATCAATCTATATCATCATTTAATTTTTCATTATCTTCTTAATTGTTGATAACAAAAACTTGTGATCAAAATGAAATTTTTAGTACCAACACGGTTGATTCAAGTGATAAGCAGCTTGATATCGTTAAGCAGGACTCGAGTTTGAGTCCTTGTGCAGGTGCGACACATGTTAATTTGAATTAGTAAAGGGCTAAGCTCTGGGGAATCGGGAGGGCAACCAAAAATAATGAAAGTATTTATGATATACAACATTTTTTTGAACAATGTTTATTGGTTTGGCTCCAAAACATCAACATATAGTAAAAGGTTAGAAGGAAAACACTCCTAGATAAAAATTTAAATGATTTATTTTATCTTATAACTCAATAGCCTCAACATGATACAAGTAAGAGGTTTCCATCTCCAAAAAGTTTCAATAACTATATGACTATCTTCCCCTTGCTATCAAAGTTACAATTATGAACGTTATGGTGTTTATATTATAATTCTAATTTACAGAGTGAAGAATGAATCAATGGCATGATGACAAATTTCTTGTGCGATCGATGTAACCATCGGTTCGTGGCAGGAATGTAAGCTGGGAATCAATGCCGTTGAACATAAACATCCCTTTTGCTCGGAAATGGCGGAATACTCACCGTTTTTAGTGGAAACACTGTCCATACCTTATTACAGAGACTCTGAAACACATACCAATAGGCAATTTTCAAGTGAACAGGGCAATAGTTTCAGGTCTAGACACGAGCAACTGGAGAGAAAGGAGGGTTAATCACATAGGACGCTGGGACAGCTTCCACATTCTTGCTGCCTTTCTTCTCCTCCGTGACTGCATTTATTAAGAATTTCACCTCCTCGTCGATAAGCATTTTTAATGAATTGTATTGCGGCGAACATTTGGTTTCCGTCTCCCGAGCAGTAGCAGAGGTTTCTGTACAATGCAGTACAGCAACACAAATGGAAAATGCTTGTAACGCGGATAACTTTGCATGAAAATCAATTGCATACCCTCCTTCAATGGCTTTCATGGTCAATGCTGGTGCATTATCTTTGACACCCTACAAAGTAATTAAAATTGTATTAGTAACAGGGAAGGTAATCCAGCCTACAGAAACTAACATTAATGGAAGCAGTACCATGAAGCAAAATGCTTTCCTACAATTAGTGTTGTCCTCATCCAATAATATGGTGGAACTTTCATCATGCAGGCTAAAATTTGAGAAAAAAATTGCTTTGGAATGAAACTGAAACTGCACCTGAAGAAAAAGTTCAAATGGCTGCTCGCTATCCACCAATGGTTGATCCTCGAAACAATGTAGATTGGTTTTTCCGAAAACTATAAGAGGACAGGCCATGTCCCAGCCACCGCAATCGCAGCCTCCGCCGAACCTCCACCTATCTAGTAATGACGAAGGACCCCGGGTTTCAGCACAAGGAAAGCCATGGTTTCCAGTTGGAATGATGACCTTCACCTTCTCTTGGCTCCCTCTGTCGTGTATCTTGCTTTTGCTTTCCTCAATCATAGAGACTTTTAGTTGATCTAAATGCGTCTTATCATCAAATTTATACCCTCTTCTGTATCTTAAGCTCTCTCTATTCTTGAATGGTACTTGAATGACTATGGACGCAATCTCAAGGTTCGGATGCAAATCGGCAGGTGTTCCATTCAGGAATTCAACCTCATCATTGTCCAATGAAAGGTTTAAATGATCTTTAAGCCTCACCACCACATTAGAGCGATCATCAGTGGATCCGGAGACAGTGACATGTTGCCTTGAACGAGTGGTATCATACAAAACAAACTCTGTAACCATTGATTTTTCGACATCTTCACCATCCTTAATTTCTGAGCACAAACGGCATGAAACTTGCATCTGCGCAACAATTGAAGCAGCAGCTTTGCTGCGATCCCTTAGTTCTGGTATACTGCTACTGCTCTTCTTCTTATTGTCGACCGAGTGGAAGGTATATACCCAATTGAAAGCATTATCGGCCTTTGATGTTTTGGCCAGAAAAACTTCTTCTGGTTCATTCATTGAGAACTCAAAAAATGGCACCCCATGTTTAGCTCCCAACTTGAGACAACCATGTAGGTGAACCGGTGAGTGAACGCTATCTTTCTCAACAAAGTCGGAATCCAATTTAGTATTTTGAGGTGAACGTGAGAAGTCATGTAACAAAGATTTCCGAATAGTCTTATTTCTTCTCGTATTTTCAATAAAACTAGATTTCAAGAATGGATCAAACATTTTTCTAATAGGAGTGAACCTGGTCCTTGAGCTGGTGCTGGAAATCGAGTCACTTTCAGAGGAACATGGTGAATGAGGCATCTTGATCTTAGCAGACAGCGAGCTGTGTGGATTATGAGCTGCATCGTTTTCAACAAGGTTCATACCATAGCCTAAAGGACTAACAACCGGTTCACATTGAAAACTAATGTCCATTTTGTTATCTGCCCCTCGAGTTTCCCCCAACATTTTTTCTTTCTTGTCTGAACATAGATAGATTTCTATGAAGTCATCTGATGAGCATGACTCCGAATAAGGTCTGCTAATGGATGATGAGTTCAGGTTCGAGCCGGCATACATCACTGGATTTCTTTCTACTGAATTACTAAGAGAATCAACAATTGTGAAGGAAAAAGAGGTGCCAATACTAGACACTCATTCGAATTTTCTCCTCCCAGTGATCTACAGAAACTTGGTTCAGCTCAGCAGTAGTTTCTGGCCAATGAATCAACATGGAATGTTGTTACAAGAAGCATGGTAGCAACAAAGCCGATATCCGAAAAAGCCTCCTTTCCCCCCGACAAATTCCCTTTACAACATGAAACAACGGTGTTGGGACTTGGGACTCAGATCAGATGAGCAGTTCTTCTCCAAGTTTTTCCATTGATGCATTTCCAGTCCTGCAAGAATGCAAGCCATATAAAATTGATCCATTACACCAAGCTATTCCATTTGTTCTAAAATACTTGAAGAAAAGCAACCATGTCTGCAAAAAGAAGGAAAAAAAATGAATTAATGAATAGACAGTCAAAAATCACAAATGAAGCTCAAAGAAAGACCTTCAAGAGACTTCTGTTCATAATTCATATACGAAAGGCTTATTTGAAAAACAAATACTCAAACTATGCATCTTTTCCAATTAATCTAAATAAAGCTGAAACCTTTGAGCCAACCAGGAATCTCGTGATCTCTATAAACACTCAGAAAAAAAGTAAAGTGATAGGAAGAAAGGCATATACAATACAATTATTAAAGAAAAACACCGACTTTATTTCACTTCCATTCCAAGGCAAAAGGGGAAAAAAAAAAGTAGCCAAAAGAAATTTCTAGAGAAAATGGACATACATTACCCAGTATTCATATAATTGAAGCGAATTAAAAGAAAAGGCAAACAAGTTGTAAGAAAGATGTAATCATACCCTTCAAACTCTTGAGCTGAATCTACAAGAAAGCAAAGAAGAAACACATCAAAGAGCCTTGTTTAAGGAAGAGTCAGAGAGTAGTGAAAATTCTGAAAGGGACCAACAAAAGAGGAGTTCAATGTGAAATCAGAGCAAAGGAAAAAGCAACAAGAACACTGTACCAGTACTAAAAATTAAGAGACAAAAAAAGTGACTTTTTTTTTCCGAAGAGAAAACATAGCTTGTCTGCGTCAAAGATCGTGTTTAGGAAGGTGGTATTTGTTCTCTTCTTTCAAACATGAGCTGACAATGAGTTGGTCGGCTTCTGGTCATGATTTGCCAAAAACAAGTCTTGTTTCAAGTCATCATATGCTTGTTGGCTCTGTCGTCACTTGTCATATGTATGTGTTTTTTTTCCTTCTCTTTAGCATTTTTCTTTCCTTTTTGATAAACTATAGAAATGGTCACTTTAGTTTTAAAAGTGTTCATCTTTCGTTACTAAATTTAAAAAGTAATATTTTAATCACTTACCATTATTGGTTTATAACAGGGGTGAGCAAGACTCGACTCGAAAAACTGAATTTTCCGACTCAAATTAACTTCGAGTTGTAATTTCATAAACTCGATTCGACTCGAAAAAATTTCAAGTTCAAATTGAGTTGTAAAATGCCACTCGAATAACTCGAAATTTTTAGTAATTTATTTTCAAGTTTAAGTCGAACCCTTGGACTTTGTGTGATATATGTATATCATATATGAAAAAATATATTTGTATTGTATATATAGTTATAGAAAGTCACTTAAATTGGAATCAAATAATATTATAATATTATAAATATTTACAATTAAATTTAAACAGAAACTCGAAAAATCGACTTGAAAAATTTTCAAAGCAAGTCTGAGTTGTAAGATAAGACTCGTCAACTCAAATAACTCAAAATTTTTGACTCGACTCGATCGAATGTTAAACCCTACTTTATAACGTTTTTGCTACTTATTTTGTCGAAGTATCAGTATATGAACTAATTTAACTAATTTAAGGTTCTCGGTACCTCAGTCGTGCGGAAAGCAAAGGTCTCAAGCTTTATTGACGGTCGATGGACTTAAAGAAAATGCCACAAAACCTACAAGATTTAACAAGAAAAATTCAACTTAATGAATGGAAATGCTTGACATCCTCCTCCGAGATGTAAGCTTGAGTTAAATCAGTTCCACCACCAAACCACCATTGCCTAGGTGCTCCAGGAATATGTGCATATTTTTAAGATGAATGACATATAAACTTACACCACTTACATTCGAAGCACAAAATTCCTAATTCAATGCATAATCACAAAGTGTCAAGAATATAAATAAGGAAAAGCAATGCAATTTTAACACTTTTCATCAGGAAAATGAAGCACAAATACCAAAGTAAACCATATAGCATAGTTTGCATTACTACTGAATCACCAATTAGAAGGATTAATGTTTTTTTATGATTATTATAAGAGTTCGTTCAAGTGGTTAGACACAAGGCAATTTTACCAATTTTACTGCTCAAAGTATAGTTCCTAAGGGACGTGAAGGGGTGGTGGAAACCGGAAAATCAAGACCCCTACGAACTTAAAGTGTATACCTCAACGGGAGTTTATTGCAGAAGTTATGGAGTACATACATCTATGGCTTAATATGTATATGTGATGTGATCCTGTCTAGCTCCAACTTTCTCTATGACTTGATCACACCGTGGATGTTATTCAAAGCTGGTTCTAAGGGAGTTATTCCTTACTTTATCCTTTATTATCTTCTATATGCATCACATAATGTTATAAGCATGCTTTTACTCCTAAAACTATGCTTGAATAATCATATGTTATCATTCACTTGCATACTATATGATTTTCATGCATAACATATGTTTTCACATCTTTACTTAGCTTTATATTATGTTTACATACGTTTTAGATTCATTTATTATGTTTGCATATCATTTACATATCATGACAACATGTATTCATTCATTCATTAACTCATGTCATGTTATTCTAGCTCATGTTATGTTTACATTAGCTCACTAGCTTTAAATCCATGTTTCTTTAACTCATTTGCATGCATGCATCTATTTTCTAGCTCATATATGTTTTCCTAAAGGTCATGAACGTCCTATGCCTTCTATCTAGTTTATATACATGTTATCTTAGCTTCTAGACAATCATTCATAGCTTATATCACTCAAACACTTCACGACATCATGCATTTTACCTTAAATGAGCTCACACATTGCTTACTTTATTTGTTTGTTGATTCCTATAGGTGAAACACAAAGCAAGGCATATTATGGTAGTTTGGTAAGCTAAAAGGAAAAACATAGCAGCTCACACTAGCTCATGAACGTTATGGCAGCTCATTTAATCACTTAAGAAGCTTCAACTTAGTTGGAGGAGCTAGCATGTAGCTGAACTTAGCTGGAGGAGAGCTTTGGACCAAATTAATGAAAAGTGGACTAAAGGTAGCTGGAAGTAGTTGGGAGAGTAGCTGAGGAGCTGAGAAGACCAAAGCTAACTAGCTTGAGTTCATCAAGATATAGCTCACCTAGTTAGCTACCAAGACACTCACCTAACTTACCTTGAAGCTAGTTCATCTCTAGGCTGCCCAAGGACTTCAAGACATCATCCTATGGTTGCAACCTCACCAAAGCATTGCAAGAAGACCCATGTGCATTCAAGTAGGCTGCCATGTACATCATTCAAGCATGTTCGCTCCATGTGACATCAAATAGGCGCCAAAACACCAATGGATGCTTCCTATTCGGCCAAAGACTCCTACCACTTCATTTTGGCACCAAATAACTTCCAAATGCATTCAAAGCATCCTTAAGACCGAACCAACACCTTACCATTCGTCCAAAGCATCATGCACCTTCAAATAGTCATGCATTTAGACAAATAGACATCTAATTATTCGGCCAGCCCTCTCTTTTCCTATAAATTGAGAGGCTGCAATCATTTGTAATCATCTCATCTCATATATAAAAATTACTCTTGTGAGTTAATTTCTCTTCAAAGTTCTTTGTGAACTTTATCGATTAAACAAGTATAATTCCTATACTTGTGGTGTCATTCCTTCCACCCTGATTCCAAAATTCCTAGATTAATATCTTGTAGGTTGAAGCCACTATCACCACCCCTCAAGCAAGTTTGTGAAGAACGAGATTGTGCTTCCTAGCATTGTTTCCTCTTTGGCGTGCTTGAGATACAACATCATCACCATCTCCATTTCATCATCAACACCATCAACATCATCCATCAAGACCATCAATTCTGCAGCCATCTCTATCCTATCTTTATTTCATTTCTTTTTCATTTCCATTACTTATATTATTATCCATTTCTTAAACCCATCATTAATCATATTTCTTTCTTATTTTATTACAGCCCAAACTTATTAATTCAAGGACATCAGTACTTGTCAATCCTAGATCGGGACACAATAAGATTATCTACTCTCTTCACCAAAGCGTGTAGATCACCTTACATCAATATGTTAGATTTATGGAGTTCGAGATTTTTTTTGTTGATAAAATGGACATGAGATTCACTTTCAAGATGCCTAAATGGATTGGATTAAACACTTTAGGGTCCAATGATCGTCTTCGACGAGAATGACGACGTTCAAAATTCAATGACAAAAATAAACACTTATGAAATAAAAGTGGTCATTTAAGTAGTTTACCCCTTGTTTTGGGAAAAAATTGATCAGCTAAAAACTTGGATGAGTTTTAATGGAGAACCCAAAATTGTGTAAGTTGAAAAAAAAAATAGCGATGGAGGTCGAATAAATTTTTGAACCACTTTTGGTTGTGATGAACTTAAAGTGACTTGCATGCGACAAAAGAAATGAATAAAGGATTAGGCCCTTCCTTCGTGTCGTCATGCAAATACACCTAAAATCAAATTAATGTGTTAGGATTAGACATTCAAGCCTCTTAAATTGAATTGGGTAATTCACCTACAAAATTTCCTTTAGATGCTAAAGGAACCCATTCTCATATGTTGGTAATTTAATTTCAAGGACCAGATGCTAATAAACGCTCAATCACCCTACTGTAGTCGCTGATGCTCGAACCCGTAATCTCTAAAAACAACAACGAATCATTTAACCACTGAGATAAATTAGTTTTTGCGTAGAATCCAATTTTAATTGATATAAACATTAACTTTTATTATTATTATTATTTTATGTTTTAAAACTTTTTTTTCTGATTTGTCCCTCCCTAGATGCTAAAACATTTTAATGTAAGGTAAGACCCAATTGCGATCATTTAAGACAATTACTCATCTTCAAAAAGAGTGGTTAGATGGAAACAAATGGAATTCACGTGCAGGGAAAACATTTTTTATTACAATTGTTCCATGCCAAGTTTCACTTTTCAGAGTAAGTTGTGAATGAGAAAATTGGTTAACACTTCAATGCATGTGACCGGTTTTGGTGAGAATTATTATTATTACCACTAGAATTATT